TTTGTCTGGGGTTGTTTTGTGAAACTCTTGTAGGTAATAACTGCTTTGATCCCATGCTCTGTTCCATGGAGCACTGGCTGTAAGGCAGCTGCAAGTGGAAGGAAAGGAACTGTGGGACCAAGTGTCCCCATCCAGTTCAGTAGAAGAGTTGTACACTGAACGTACTAAATGCCACCGAATCATACACTTCAAGATCGTTAATTCTATGTTAACTAAATTTTAACTCTGTTTTAAAAGGAACAAATTTCTGTTTTAAGAGCATAGCCTAAATCCATTTCACATTTGATGTTTTAGCTGGAACGTCTAACTGGGAGTACAGCAGATGTCTACTTGGAATATATTCAGCGAAACTTACCTGAAGGGGTTGCCATGGAAGTCACAAAGGTATGACGAATTTCTGCCTGTTGTGAGGAAAAACATCTGTATTGTCCTTTTGACATGCCACAGCTTGGTTGTGGGTGAAGGGGGAGGGTCTGTGGCCGACTGGGAGGCAGAGTTGCTGTAGCAGTTGAGCATTTTCCCTCCCTGTGCAATGGTGTTAGGTCAGCAGAATCCTGCCACTGCCAGCTCAAGTCCTCCCCAGCCACCTCTGAAGTCTCTCTTTCTCAAAATGGTTGTCTAGACATGTTAAGTGGCAGTCCCTGGAGATCATAGAGGATCAAATAGATAATTTATATAAGTGCACTTGGTAAAGCATCAGGTTTCTTTGTTTCAAAGTCCTGCAAAAAAAAACAAGGGACAGAAAAGGAAAAGTAGAAGATTCGGGGCACAGGAGTCTAATTTATCCACAAAGAATTCAGTTAAGTCTCCATGATATTATAGTTGAGTATACTTATTTAATGTGTACTTTTTGTTTTTAGACAAAATTAGAAAAATTACCAGAACACATCAAGGAGCCGATCTGGGAAACTGTACCTGCAGAAAAGGAAGAAAGCAAGTCATAAGGCCTCAGGGAGGCCCAGATGTGTGTGTTTAAATGGAGATTGCTTCCAGATGAGATGACTTTAAGTCCACCTAACTGCTCTGCTGAGCCCATGTACTCTGATCAGCTGAGAGCAGTAGAACTTTAATGACAGATTGGGCTGTAGTAGACTAACTATGTTACCTGGTTTCTTTATACATGTCATTATTTCAGATTTTGTTTTAACACATGTGAGCAACTTATTTTGACTACTGTAAGTCAAAAAAATCAAATTTTTCTATCAGTTCATTCATCTGAAAGTGAGTGAGTACAGTATTCCTCACACAATTTGTTTGTTTTATGTTCCTGGAAGGAAGCTTTGGTTAATTCGATCAGTTTATTTTAAACTTTTTTTACTTTAGTGGCAGACTAGCATATGCTAATTTGGAAGTGTTGACCTCTAATTTTACCTCATTTAAGCATTAAATTCTTTTTGTGTGTGTGTGTGTGATTTGGATGAAAGTTTTCAGAGCAAATTCACTTTCCATACAGCAGTTTACACACACTTTGTCTCATGACATTGACTACAATTTACCCCAATGCAACAGCTCCCCTCCCACTTCTTCCCGATAGTTACCTCTTCCCTGTGTCCATCCTTCCATGCACTCCTGCCCCCTGAGTTGTCTCCCTGTGCATATACAGTCCTTCTTTCTCCCATGATTGTTCTCTCCTAGGAGTGTATCTACCTCAGGTAAATGTTAACTCATATGCCTGTCTTTTGTTTGGCTGGAAGCCACAGGTGTGGGTTCAATTCCAGACCTGAAGGGCAGCTAAGGGCCATAGTCTCAGTGGTTCCACCAGGCTCTATCAGACCAGCAAACCTGGTGTGTCCCACCCTGCTTTTTTTTTTCCCCAAATGATTTTGAGATATGTTCCACATTGTTCTCCCTCTCTATCTAGGATCTCCTACATAGATCCCCCTCTGAGTGGTTGACAGTGGGAGCCGGGCACCATCTAGTTCTTCTGGTCTCATAGTCATATAGGCTGCAGATCTCATGGTGTACCAGTTGCTAGGACTAATTGTTTCCATGAATCTTTGGTTTTCTTCATTCTTTGCTGTGAACGGAGAGAGACCCATCATTGCATCTAGATGGCTACTTGTAGGCTTTTAAGATCCCAGTTGCTACTTGCCAAAGTAGGAGTTAGAACAATGTTTTCTGTAGTATGTTATGCCGATTGAGCTTGATGTCCCCTGTGACTATGGTCCCAAGCCCACCAGTTCAACTGCTTGCTCCTCTGGGTAGCTGGCTGTGACCAAGAAGTGACTACAACCTTGTCCCTTGTCAGCTCTATTATGCACCTGGGAATTCTTACAGAACATACAAATATACTTGTAGAACCATTGTCTACCAACCCTATACATGGTCTTTGGTACACTCCCCGCTGTACAGACATACCTAATAGTTCAGCCTGTCCACTCATCTGTCCACTTGTATACTCATGTTTGCCTGCACTGACAACACAGTACTGTATGTGCAAAAGGGTTCACCTTTGTTGTCTGCACCTCCCATATACCTCTCTCTGTCTTCCTCTTCCTCAGTGCCACCATGTTGATCACTCACATTTGGTACATTGCCCTTCTCTTCACCCAAATCAGTATTTATCTCTATAGATCTAACAATGTTCCCTCCCTTCCCTTCCCACCCCTGGTAACCAGCAGAAAATTTCCTTCCATATATAAACCTTTCCTTGACTCCTTCTGTGATTGACTTATTTCACTCAGCATAATGTCCTCCAAGTTCATTCACATTATGCAGTGTTTTGCAGATTCTGCATTATTCTTTAGGGTTGCATAGTCTTCCATTATGTGTGTGAACTATAGTTTGGTTATCCATTCCTCAGTTGATGGACACCTAGGTTGTTTCCATCTTTTAGCTATTGTAAATAGTGTTGCTATGAACACGGATGTGCATAAAGCATTAAATTCTTGAAAGTGAGTAGACTCTGTGACAGATCAGGCACATTTGTGACATGCACTGAACTCTTCTTCTAGCCCAGACCTTTATAGGACTGTCTGTGAAGGGTCACTGTGATGGAATTTTAGCTCTCAAGAAATGACTACTTACATCATTTCATTCATCCTTTGCTTTATTCATTCAACAAGGTTTTGTTGTGTACTTTGTACCCAGCACTGTAGTAAATACCAACACCTGAATAGAAGTAATGGCTTTTGAAAATTGTGCAAGGCACACAGATAAATATTTTTCCTGTTTAGTTCCACATTGATAAAAGCCTTTTCTTTTGGTTAATGGTACTCTTTTTGCTTGCAGACATCTGCTATTCCATGAAATTAAAGTATAGTTAAAGCACTCAAAGAAAAAAGATTACAAACAGCTGAAACGGTTGGTGTATCTACCCCAAGGGAGTTATTCTGTTACTCTTTACAATAAAATCAGGTCCAGGTCTTTTGTGATTTCCTTCACATCTTTGGGGTAGTTATGACTTCTCTGTTTTTCCCCCTGTGACTGAATTGCCTGTTCTCTTCTCAGCCTACTATCAAATGTCAGTGCTTTGAATGCATACTGCTTATGAATAAGATTTACATTACTGTCATTAACATGACAAGAATTGCAGCTCTGTGCCCCATGACCTCATGCCCTGCATAGCTTAGTTGTTGAAGGCCTTATTCACAAATGCCCAAAGGAGAAATCCTGAAGATAAGCCTTAAAGAACTAGTGACTGCTCTGATCAGGATCACAATGGAAGGTCCTAGATGGAGTGGGAGAAAAATGAACAAATTTCAGAATCATAAAACTTATAGACTCCTCAGACTTGCTAGTCTGATGGAGACTGATGGAGCCCCTGAGACCATGGCCCTCAGATACTCTTCAAATCATACCTGGAGATCACCCTTCAGCCACATAATGTTGCTGTTGTTATTAGGTGCTGTCGAATCAGCTCCGACTCGTAGCAACCCTACGTACAGTAGAACAAAACACTGCCTGGTTCTGCACCAGCCTCACAGTCTTTGCTATGCCTGAGGCCATCGTTGCAGCCACTGTGTCAACCAATCTCAGCCACATAACGGGTAGGCCTATGAAGTAAACAGTAACACCCATCAGGAACGCACTCAGAGCAGTCAGTCATACAAGACTAATAGGACAGCATTTGCCCACAAACTTTGTTCAGAAGGCAGGAAACAGGGATGAATGGAAATGGGGAACTCAGGGAGGAAATGGGAAGAGTGCTTTTTCCATTAAGGGGGTTCTGACTAATGTCATGAAACAAAATGTCTAAATTGTTGAATAGGAAACTAATTCGTAAAATTTCATCCAGATTGCAATAAAATGTTAAAGGAAAAAGACTTAATAGGTGAACAGATCAGCCTAGCCGCATGGAGATCTCAAAGGAACCAGCAAACAGGCTGAAGAGACAAGAACCTTCCTCCAGAGCCAGCCTTCCCCTAGAGCTGCCACCCTGAAGTTGGACTTCTAGCCTCCTAAACTGTGAGAAGTTAAATTCCTGTTTGTAAAAGAAAAAAAAAGTCAGCGACACAGAGGTGATTCTTGACTGCAGCCACCAAGCCCGCTGCTGTGGGTTCAGTAAAAAGTTTGCCTGTGCTGAGGGGATGTAGGTGGATTTCCTCACCTACAACAGGAGGTAGATGCACATTTTGCTGTAAACTTCCCTGTACAAGTCTTTAAATCTAGAATAATCGGCCCAAACTATATTAAGAGAGGAGAGCTGACTTCTGGTTACATTTATTTTAGGGCTAAATTTTGCACCACTTTTTTGAATGTCTCTTTCACTGGGTTATAAATGTAAGAAAAGCAGAAAGCATGCCTGTTTTCATCCATCTTCTAAGCTAAAACATTTGACACCATGGCAGGCATTCTACACTCATCCAGTAAATATTAGATGAATCACAAAAAAAAAAAGTCAATGAAAACTGAAATAAGCAGTGTAATGGTAGCTTTGTTTACCAAAGCAGCAATTCATAACACATTTTTATTTTTAAAAATAATTTTTAAGAGAGCTGCTACATTGTAGGGAATTGCAGTTAATGTCATGAGCAAAATGTGTATGAACAGCAATATGGAAAATGAATTTGTAAACTCTCATCCAAATGACAATAGGAAAAAAAAAATTCTTTAAAGACCCAGACCTGAGCTGTTTTGGTGGGGTTTTTTTTAGATAGTATATCACTGTAGGAGCTCTGGTAGCATAGTGCCTAAGGCACTTGACTGCTAACCAGAAGGCTGGTAGTTCAAACCCCCAGCCACTCCTTGGAAGGAAGGTTGGGCAATCTACTTCCCTAGTGATACCGCCTCGGCCCCGAAGGAGGGGTTGGTATGAGTCGTGTCCAACTCCATGGCACTAACAACAACAACAGTATATCACTGTATTATAAGAGGTTGGTTGATAGTCTCTAGTAACACGTCCATGTGAGCACCTTTAAAGGTGGGCATCTGCCATAGTAAAAAAAAAAAAAAAAAAAACCTGCTATCCAACTATTGTGCACATTAACTATGTACATCTGGCAGTAGCAAATGCCAAGGTGAGAGTAATGCTGTTTTGAGACTAAAAATAGCTTGTAGACAAGATTATTTAGCTGATTACTTCAAATTATATACTAAAATCTTATTTTAAGATCAATATGCAAGTAAACTGCCCAGGACAAAACTAGCATTGTTTCCTTGACAAAAGTATTAGGCATATTTAAAGCCTACTCCTTGATGTAAGGGAGCTCTGGTAGTATAGTGCCTAAGGCATTTGACTGCTAACCAGAAGGCTGGCGGTTCAAACCTACCAGCCACTCCTCGGAAGGAAGGTTGGACAATCTTCTTCCGTAGTGATATGTGCGGTAGCCTTGGAAACCCAAGGAGGGGTCACTATGAGTTGGGGCCAACTCGATGGCAAAACAACAGTCTTGATGTAAGCAAAGTCATTTCTGTATTCTGATGTCTGAGATAGTTTTTAAAATAATGGTTTCAATGAAATGCATATCCTGAAAATTAGAATTAATGCATAGTAGGGGCTAGA